ATTCAGTGTTAGCTGTCTGTTTAAAACACAGCCTGTCCTGAAATTAACTCCTTAAATTCTTCTGCAGGGAAATCATTTGCCATTGTGGTGTCAATCAGCCAGTTATCGAGCAGTTGTTAAAACAATTTTGTTTATGGAGCTTCGACTCCTTCTTTTCCCAGGCATAGATAATTGCTTTCAGTTCCTCCGTAAGAGTTTGTCCTTGTCCCTTAACAGCTTATTTCAGGCAGATTTATTGCTGATTCTCTCAATCCATGGAAATTTCTGAAGTTTGCAGCATGTTTACAATGACTAGTTAACTGCTGTCTGATTTGACCCTAGTAAGCTGCTCAGTTAAGGGGCAATTAGGGATAAGCAACAAATGCTGTCCTTGCCCAAGGTGGCCACATCTCATGAAAACATGAAGATTAAATAAAAACCTCCAGTGAAATGAATTGATTCACCGTAGCCTGAAGCACTCCATTTTATGTTGCAGGTACTGTATTCTCTTGTCTGGCAGTCAGTTGCATGGCTGCTCTCTCAGGTAATTCAACTGTCTGAAAGTGAAGAAATGAAAATGAAAATCTTTTAATGTGCTGATGTCTTTTCAGGTTTGTTGCAGTATTTCCCGTGCTTTCTCGATCATGTCCCTATCAGAAGATGGAAGCAGTTTATGCGAAAACTTCAACTAACTGAAAATGAGATTGTCGAGGCTGAACGCAACAATGTAAATGACATTAGGGAAGGACACTATCAGATGCTTCGTACTTGGTTTCAGAAAGAGGGTAACAAAGCCACGATTACGTTTCTGCTGCAGACTCTATATGACATGGAACTGGTGAAAGCAGCGAATGACGTAAACCAATCTATACTTGATGATGGAACCAAAGAGCACTGAATTTTGGGAATGATTTTGCAGAAATTTTTGATCAGAAGTGCAAGCGGTTGGACGAGGTCTGCTGGGGCTAGCGCGGACTGACACTGCACAGCACTTTTGGCTTGGAATATTGAAAAGGACTCTGGGTTCAGTGACTACAGACTATACTGACAGCAGGACATTCCTAATTCCTGTGTCACTACCTCGACCCTTGATGTTTTTTGAATTCAGTATTGGTTACCAAGGAAGTTTAAAGCACTTGCCTAGAGTAACTAAACTGGCATTTGTTAAAAGATAGGGATATTTGTATTTTTTAAGACTTTTTAATAAAGATATTTTTAAAGACTATAAAACCACAGCAACATTTGACGCCAAATGACAGCATTGAATTCTGAATCAATGAAGAGTGGAGAATCGGACCTATTATTGTTGACTAAGTATATTCAAGGCTGAGATAGACAGATTATTAATCAGAAAGAGAATTGTGGATTATGGAGGAAAGGCAAGAAAGTAGAGTTCAGGATCATCAGATCATTGTTGAATGCTGAGCAGATTCGATAGGCTAAATGGCCAAATTCTGCTCCTGTGCGTTATGGTCTTCTGAGTCTATTAGTTAGAGGCTGACGGATGTTTTATTGAGCGTACTCTAAATTGCTTCATTCATGGCCGGCTGAGTGGTCAGCACTACTGCCTCATAATTCAACTCCAGCCTTGGATGACTATGTGGAGTTTGCACATTCTCCCCGTGTCTGCGTGGGCTTCTTCCAAGTGCTCCAGTTTCCTTCCACAGATGTGCAGATTAGGTAGATTGGCCATGCTAAATTGCCCCGCAATATCTAGGGATCTGCAGGTCAGATGGATTAGTTGTGATAAGAAATAAAAGGTGGGGTTACAGGAATAGGATGGGATGCTGTATGGAGGGTTGGTGCAGAATTGATGGGCCAAATGGCCTCCTTTGCACTATAGGGATTCTATGATGATGATAACACTAAGGTGTGATGCACCTGTAAACAGTAAGTCAGAACAATAAAAACATCAGATTTTAGGGCTCACTGCAAAGTGATTGCTGCAATCCATTTAGTGTGTGTGTGAGAGAGAGAGAGAGAGAGAGACAGCACAAGAGGTGGGTATTCATATTTTCTTAAGCAAGTTCAAGGCATGCAGAGAATGGGGAGCAGAGGAGCACCTAACAGGTTGTGCATCTTTAGCAGCTTTAACCTGAACAGTTGCACGTAAACACTTGCACATTAATCAGAAATACATCGCATTACTCTGGACATGATGTGACACTATACCAATCTCTTTTACCACCATTTAGTGAATGCCACAATTCAGGAAATTCAATTACATGTTCCACTTGCACTGCTTACACGGACTATGTCAGAGAATTGCTTCATGTTAACATCGTTTAACGTTTAACAGTCACTGCAAAGTGTAAAACCTGGATCTTGCTAAGAACCTAATACACATCGAACTCATGGACTCACCAGGACAAACTATCCTGACAAGCATGAAAGGAAAATGTTCAGCGATGTCAGCAAAACCTCAAAAGTGCATCCTTTCCATGTCCCAGACTCTACTTAAATCTATACGTCTGCTGCAAATTTCAGCAAAATTCAAGCACTGCACAGGGGGCCCTCTTGTGGTGCAGCAGTAATGTTCCCACCCCTGAACTGACAGACCCAGGTTCAAGTCCCACCTACTCCAGCAGTGTGTAATAACATGACTGAACAGGTTGATAAGGGAAAAATGGGTTCAAGTTCAGTCCTTTGGAATAGAGTGACCAGTTTCTGAACTGCCTTAGTGCCTGGCAGATGTAGTGATGACTGAGCCAGTTCCACCCAAAGAATGGGATGCTGCAATTTAGAGAGAGTGAGATAAATCTTGCCAAAAGCATTGGCTGATGATAGGAGCTCTGCTGGAAGAGAGAGGGAGGGTGACATTTCCAAGAGATCAACTCCACTTTGACAAGGTATACAGTCATTTTGGGACAACTGCTCCCTCTTGCCTCCTGTATCCCTGGAATAGCACTGAAACTCAACATTTAGTTTGTTCAATTATTTGTGGTAAATTGAGCAGTTTGTTTTACAATTGATTTTAAAGTTTAATACAAAACCTAAATTAAACTTGACCATTAATTTTTTTATTTATTCATTTTTGTGGGATGTGGGCGTCACTAGTTGGCCAGCATTTATTACCTGCCCCCTGGAGAAGGTGGTGGTGAGCTGCCTTCTTGAACCACTGCAGTTCTCCTGCTGTGGTTTTATCCCACAATACCATTAGGGAGTGAATTCAGGGATTTTGACCCAGCAACAGTGAAGGAACGGCAATATATTTCTAAGTCAGAATGGTGAGCAGCTTGGAGGGGAACTTGAAGGTGGAAGTGTTCCCATATGTCTGCTGCCCTTGTCCATCTAGATGGAAGTGGCCATGGGTTTGAAAGGTGCCATCTTAGGACTTTTGGTGAATTTCTGCAGTGCATCTTGCTGCTACTGAGCGTCGGTGGTGGAGGGTGTGGATGTAGTGCCAATCAAGCTGGCTGCTTTGGCCTGGATGGTGCCAAGCTTCTTGAGTGTTATTGGAACTGCACTCATCTAGGCAAGTGGGGAGTATTCCATCACACTCCTGACTTGTGTCTTGTTGATGATGGGCAGGGTTTGGGGGAGTCGGGGGTGAATTACTCACCACAGTATTCCTCGTCTCTGACCTGCTCTTGTAGCCACTGCATTTATGTGCTGAGTTCAGATGAGTTTCTGATTAATGATAACTCCCAGAATGCTGATAGTAGGGGATTCAGTGATGGTAACCATTGACTGTCAAGGGGCGGTGACCTCCAGCAACCACGACCATCTTCCTATTTGTCAGGTATGACTCCAACCACCGGAGACTTTTCCCCCGATACCCATTGATTCCAGTTTTGCTAGGGCTCCATGATGCCACACTCAGTTGAATGTAGCCTTGATGTCAAGGGCCATCACTCTCACCCCATCTCTGGAATTCAGCTCTTTTGTCGATGTTTGAACCAAGGCTGTAATGAGGTCAGGAGCTGAGTAGCCCTGGTGGAACCCAAACTGAGTGTCACTGAGCAGGTTATTTCTGAGCAGGTACTGCCTGATAACACTGTTGATGACACGTTCCATCACTTTACTGATGATCGAGAGGAGACTGATGGGGCGATAATTGGCCGGGTTGGATTTGTCCTTTTTGTGTACAGGACATACTTGGACAATTTTCTACATTGTCCGGTAGATGTCAGTGTTGTAACTGTACTGGAACAGTTTGGCTAGGGGAGCGGCAAGTTCTGGAGCACAAGTCTTCAGTATTATTGCCAAATGTTGTCAGGACCCATAGCCTTTGCAGTATCCAGTGTCTCCAACCGTTTCTTGATGTCACGTGGAGTGAATTGAATTGGCTGAAGACTGGTATCTGTAATGCTGGGGACCACTGGAGGAGGCCGAGATGGATCATCCACTCAGCACTTCTGGCTGAAGATTGCTGCGAAAGTTTCAGCCTTATCTTTTGTACTGATGTGCTGGGCTTTTCCATCATTGAGGATGGGGATATTTGTGGAGCCTCCTCCTCCAGCGAGTTGTTTAATTATCCACCACCATTCACGACTGCATGTGGCAGGACTGCAGAGCTTAGATCTGATCCATTAGCTGTGGAATTGATTAACTCTATCACTTGTTGCTAACGTTGTTTGGCAAGCAAGTAGTCCTGTTTGGTCATTTCACCGGGTTGACACCTCATTTTCACACATGCTTGATGCTGCTCCTGGCCCTCCTGTAGTCTCCAATGAACCAGGGTTGATCCCCTGGCTTGACGGTAATGGTTGAGTGGGGGATATGCCGGGTCATGAAGTTACAGATTGTGCTGGAGTACAATTCTCCTGCTGTTGATGGCCCACAGCGCCTCACGGATGCCCAGTCTTGAGTTGCTAGATCTGTTTGAAGTCTGTCCTGTTTGGCACGGTGATAGTGCCACACAATATGATGGAGGTTATTCTCAGTGTGGACTCCACGAGGACTGTGTGGGGGTCACTCTTACTGATACTGTCAAGGACAGATGTATCTGCAGCTGGCAGATTGATAAGGATGAGGTCAAGTATGTTATTCCTTGTTGTTGGTTCCCTCACCACCTGCCGCAGACCCAGTCTAGCAGCAATGTCCTTTAGGACCTGACCAGCTCGATCAGTAGTACTACTGCTGCGCCACTTTTGGTGGTGGACATTTAAATCCCCCACCCAGAGTACATTTTGTGCCCTTGCCATCCTCAGTACCTCCTCCCAGTGTTGTTCAACAATGAGGAGTACTGATTCATCAGCTGAGGGAGGACGGTATGTGGTAATCAGCAGGAGGTTTCCTTGCCCATGTTTAACCTGAAGCCATGAGTCTTCATGGGGTTCAGAGTCAATATTGAGGACACCCAGAGCAACTCCCTCTCAACTGTATACTACTGTGCCGCCCCCTCTGCTGGATCTGTCCTACTGGTGGGATAGGACATATCCACAGATGGTGATGGTGGCATCTGCAACATTGTAACGTATGATTGCATAAGTATGACTATGTCAGGCTGTTGCTTGACTAGTCTGTGAGACAGCTCTCCCAATTTTGGCACTAACCCCCAAATGTCACTGAGGAGGACTTTGCAGGGTTGACAGGGCTGTTTCTGCTGTTGTCTTTTCCAGTGTGTAGGTCGATGCCAGGTGATCTGTCTGGTTTCATTTCTTTGAGACTTTGTAGCAATTGTACAACTGAATGACTTGCTATGGCAGTTGAAAGTTAACCACATTGCTGGGAGTTACATGTGGGCCAGACCAGGTAAGGATGGCAGATTTCCTTCCCTGAAGGACATTAGTGAACCAGATGGGCTTTTCCAACAATCAACGATGGTTTCATGCTTATCAGTAGATTCTTAATTCAATTTAAAAAAACTGGAATTCAAATTCCACCGTCTGCCATGGTGGGATTTGAACCTGGGTCCCCGGAACATTATCTGGGACTCTGGATTACTTGTCTAGTAATAATACCACTAGGCCATTGCCTTCCCATTCTACATTTTACAATAATACCGTTATAATATTATAATAAAAAAGTCCTGTTAAATATGGTGTAGTATACAACCATTGATTATGTATAAGGTGGTGATATCACTGGGCTGGGAGTGTTTGGGCCAGTATCAAGGGGACATTACTTATAGGTTTAAAAAGAGTAGAGGACGGTTTTTTCTCTATATCTAACTCTGCGCTGTACCTGTCCTGGGAGTGTTTGGTGGGCCTAATATCAAAGAGACATGACTTTTAGGTTTAAAAAGAATAGAGGGAACTTTAGCCTATATCTAACAAAGGT